GTTTTATAATTAGGGTTCTGAGATAGAACCCAGGCAATTGCAACTAGGATTCTAACAAAGCTACAAAATTCAAGAATACTCGATATATTCTCCCTCTAACTTAACTGAGAAATTAGATATATATTGTACAGGATATTAGCTCTCCAAAACCATTTTAGGAATATGAATCCTATATACGAAGCAAGAAGTCATGTACCTTTGACTAGGAAAGACCAAACGGAAAACAAGATGCTAATAAATTTAAATTATAGCTAACTCCAGTGTTTCTACTTATTACAGATTTTTCTCACTTGATAAAACTTTATTATGATGGAATCAGCAACACTATTAACTCCAAAAGTACACAGAATAAGATTTAAATTATGTTTGAATTGACTACATAAAATTCTAAAAAGTTCCACGCCTGTTGACCATTAAATCAATACTAACTTCATCACCACACAACATAAATTACCATATCTCACTGAGCAATTAGAGAAACTAGACATCAACAGAGAAAGTAGCACATCGATCACCAAGAGCAGAACGCCTTGTCCCTTACAGCATGAGATACCAAGAGCAGAATGCACTTGTCATTTATAACGGAGATGGCACAGTTGTACCATTTCATGGCTCATTTGAGCTTGTAAAGAAACGGCGTCCACGGCCTAAGGTAGACCTTGATGAAGAAACTAATAGAGTATGGAAGCTTATTGGAAATATCAACAGTCAAGGCATGATGGAACAGATGAAGAGAACCCAAAATGGTGGGAAGAAGAACGGAGAGTGTTTCATGGTCGTGTAGACTGTTTATAGCTCGCATGCATTTGTGCAAGGTAGCATTCCTTTCCTGAACTCCCTATATAAACTTCAGACTTGTGAGAATCCCAAAGCTTATCTAGGAATTTAGATACATGGGTTATTAGGATTTCCATAATGTAATATGGCTACAAACCACAAAAGTCTAGAAAGAAGAACACACAATACTATTGTGATCATCCCACTATCAAAAGAGGAATGCTGAACCTTCTATATTTTATATTCGTTTCTTTGGCAATACCATATAAGTTTTCAGAACAAGCCAAAATATATAGATAGGGTATAGGTAAAAGCTTAATTGGAAAAAAGAATCAGGGCACACTGAATTTGGAGCATCTTAAATGTTCTTGATACATTACAACCACATTAAAATGTCAACCGCCGTTGTACAGCCTAAATAACATGATACAATTCTACAGTCCAAATAAGATAATACCAATAGCAGGGGAAAAGTAACACAAAATTCAGTTAAGGTTAGAATAGATGGCAGTCAAATTGTACCAAGCTAAATTCCAAAAATTTGTGCTCAACCTGACAAGCATCTTAATGTAAGGAAAGGACATCTGCCTCCATGTAATTGTAATTTAAAGGCAGACAAAACCAAATGTGTATTCTGCAAAACGGAAGCTCGCTTTAAGCTAAATGAAGAAAACTTTGCTGAAATTGGCTTTGAAAATTTTACTCTTCCAATGTGAATTTCATGAATTATATGTTCATGTCAAGAACTTCAGGAAACTTTAGCATGCACTTATGGAAATTTAAGTGCTTTGTTCTATCTTAAAATGCTACCTGAGTTATTTCACACAATGGTTTTGTTGTTACAAGTTCATATTATACCAGCAAAATGCCTTTTGAACAGGGGACAGACGTTCTCTAAATGGAAGGGATCCGTTGTGGACTGGTTGTTGGAGTCTTTCTACTCAGAAGTTTCAGACCATCTTTCTAGGTGAACTAGTGTTTCTGACATATATATTAGCCAACATAATGAAATTAAGGAAAGGGACATAGGAAATTTATCTTACTGTCTTCACTTTTTGCAGTTCTGATTATGTCACTTGCTGCACATTTTCCGTCAAGTCAAAGGACCAGAAACCATGCTATGGGGAAGGGACTAGTTCAGTGACTGAAGAACAGTAGTGTACATACTGGATCCCGAAGAAACTGTAGAATGGACTGAGAAGATGTCAAATAACCAGCTTGGACCAGAGTTCATGACCCTCCACAATACGAGATTAATGAAGAGAAAGAAGTCATCAGCAGCAATGAATCTTTTGGAAACAGCTGTACTTCAACTCGATAGATGAGTCAAAATGCAAGCTGTTGAATTCTTGTGTAAGTGATTCAGAAAAATGCTATGATACAATTCTGAACAGATCAACCACAGAGAGCACTGCAACAGAGACAATATGTTCTGTAGGAGGTAGAATAGCAACCGATTATTTACTGTCATCTCAAAATTCCATGGATTCTTCAATTGCTGAAAATGCTGAAAGAACCAAATCAAGCTTTGATAACAACTCAGAGGCAGCAGATCTCACTCGTGGATCTGCACTCAAAAGCTTTAATGAATGTACTTCTTTTGTGGAGCTTTACAGATGGCAGGATCTTAAAGCTTCATAAAGTTACAACCATGGAGATGTCAATATCTCATCTGATGAGAACTCAAGCATGAAAGTGACCAATTCCAAACCATGGCTTATGACAGCCCAAGACAAAAGTGAAAGATTTAAACAGTCCTAAAGACTTTTTAGGAGAGTCAAATATACACCCAGTACTTTCCATCCATATCTTACCCAAGATTCAGCAGTGGAAGTTGCATGCTATGAGATGTTCGGAGAAGAAACAGGATCTTCTGGCATTTCCGTAAAAATAATAAAGAGGGTGTGGTAGAACAAATGCTGTTACACCAGAACACAAGTCAAACTAAAGATGCAACTAAGCTGACCATTAGTGTTCAAGAAGCACCAAGTTCTTCCAGTGAAACTAAGCAAGCAAGCCACTAGTATGCAAGAAGACAAGAATTAAGTGAACAACATCAAAGTGAGCTATCTAGAGATTCCACAGTTGTTGAATTGCTGGCCAAGGACAAAAGCATGAAATGCAACATCAGAATTTGTCAAACCTGTCAGGAGAAACCCAAGGCGCTACAGAAAGCAATAATGCATGTGATAACCGAGAAAACATTCAGCCGAATACATCAGTGTCAGACTTGAATAAGCATGACCTGTATTTGGCAAAGAACTCAATGAAATTAATGATGCTACTTCAAAAGCAAAAGGTAGAAAGGTTGCAAGGATAAAAAAAAGACTTTGACTGGGATAGTTTAAGGAGACAGGGGAAGTGAATGGAAGGAAAGAAAGACCAGAAAACAACATGGACTCATTGGATGGGAAGCTGTAAGATGCGCTGATGTTAATAAGATTGCCAATACCATCAAGGAACGAGGTATGAACAACATGCTTGCTGAACGAATAAAGGTAAAAAATTTAAATTCCATCACAAAAAATCTCAAATTTGTAAATGTACTAACCACAGATAGCAAGCTTTTCACATCAAGTAATTTTAGTTGACAACCATGTAGGATTTCCTTAACCGAATTGTTAGGAACACGGAGGCATTGACTGGAATGGCTGAGAGATGTCACCTGACAAAGCAAAGTAAGTCATAAAGTAAATTCCAATAGTTTCCTCGAAATACTGATATAATTTTGTAACAAATCATCTAAATATGCCACAACTGTGTTAGGATACTGTTAGCATACTTAATTTTTCATATAAAACTTAAAAGTTGCTAAACAAGATTTATTCTTCTAGAGAGTATCTGCTAAGCATACGAGGACTGGGTTTGAAAAGTGTGGAGTGTGTGCGACTTCTTACACTTCACCACCTTGCGTTTCCAGTAAGTTAGTAATAAGATGCAAATATATCAAAACAAATGGGACATTGTCTAACTTTTTGATACTATGACAGGTTGACACAAATGTTGGACGCATAGCTGTAAGACTTGGATGGGTCACTTCAGCCACTGCCTGAGTCGCTGCAGTTGCATCTTCTAGAACTGTGAGTATATGTATAAAAAGACAACTGATATAAACTATTGGTGTTTACAACAGAACTAATATTCTTGTACCTACAGGTATCCAGTGCTGGAATCCATTCAAAAATTCTATGGCCCAGATTGTGCAAACTTGATCAACGAACTCTGTAAAGACAAATTCCATTGCATCTTATTATTTTAACTTCTTAATTTGCTTACTTTATACAATTAGCAAGAAACTAAAAAAATATGTTATTTAGAGTTAATTGTTATTAATTCGTTGCAATATTTACTAATAGGTATGAGCTGCATTACCAGATGATTACATTGGAAAGGTATGTTGCAATATATACATATTAAATTTTAATTAAGCACCTTGCCGATAACAACATGCTAAAGCCAAGAAGAAAAATATTATTAGCAGGGCTTCTGCACAAAAAGCAAACCAAATTGCAATGCATGTCCAATGAGAGGAGAATGCAGACATTTTGCTAGTGCATTCGCAAGGTTCGCATCTTTATGTTATAGTTTCTAGCTTTATATTTTGCATTTATAGTTCTCAAGGAGCAGCTATCAGTTTAATGTTATTTACCACCATCCATTACCTTCTTAGTTCATTCAGGTAATTTGTGGATGTGGAGTTATCATAAAGAAAAAAAGAACATTTCAGCTAATTAAGAATATCCAGCCATGGATCAGATTATTAATCCTCTTATTCGTAATTATAGATACAGTAAACGGCAGTAATCCCATACTGTAGACCTGATAGGAAAAAAATTTCCAATAAGATACATATACAAATATAAGATTTGATAATTTGACCGCATACAACTTTGAATGCAGCTCTAGGCTTGCTCTGCCAGGGCCAGAGGAGAGATTATAGTGAGTGCAAAAGCAAATATAACTTCAGACCAAAACCCTGAAGTGATAATCAATAAACTGCCACTGCCCTTACCCCAGGCAATGGATCAACCTGAAGGAAACCAGCAATCAGAAGCAATATTAGAAGCCAATAACTGTGAGCCTATATTGAAGAACCAGGACCCCAGAACCAGAATGCCCACAAGTAACAGAAACTGACATGGAGGATACATTCTGTGAGGACCCAGATGAAATTCCTACTATCAAGCTTAACATGGAAGAGTTCTCTCAGACCTTACAGAATTATGGCAAGACCAAATGCAATCTCCGGAAGGGCAGTCTCCGAGTTTACTCCCATTACACCAGACAAAGCCAAGAGAGGGAATAGCAACCAGGTTTCTCAATTACAAAACTCACCTACAGATGACAGAACAAACCCAGAAAGAGATGCACAGAATAATGAAGTTGCTGCTGAAAGAGAACCCAACAGTATCTGGTGCAATAAAGAACTCTTCCAGCATCATACAGATACATCAGTTGCAGCAGCTTCCACACAGTTACAGGAGAATCACAACCCTGACAAGCAAGAAAGTCATGGTATTGACCTGAACAAAACACCCCAGCTTAAACCGAGGAGGAAAAAGCACAGGCCAAAGGTGGCCAAAGAAGACAAACTTAAAACTCCAAAATCAGCAATCAGAAAGCCTGCTGGTTCTGGTAAGCGGAAGTATGAGCGAAAGAAGGGAACGAACAAAGATCCAACATGCTCCCCATCACAGGCAGCTGGAGAATTTATTGATCCAAAGACACTAGAGCCTTCCAAGGAATCATGCAGAAAGACCTTAAACTTTGACAATGAAGGGCAAACTAGAGAGGAAAACTCTACTTGCAAGTCCTCTGATTTAGTTTCAGAATCGGGGACAAAGGACATCCTTGAAAGAGGAATTCAATCAAAATCATCCTTACAGCTCGATGAAGGCTCTGAAGTGACAACTCTAAAGCCAGTGACACCAAAGCCTGCTGGGTCTAAAACAAATCCAAAAGTTAAGAGGAAGTATGTGCGGAGAAAGGGACTTAACAAAGACTCAACATCTTCTCCAGATGAAGCAGTAGCGGGAAACTACATTGATCCAAAACCACCTGAACCTACCAATGAATCATGTAGAATTTCTGATGCAGGACAGTCTAGAGATGAACACTCCAAGTCAATTTGTTTCGGTTCAGTTTCAGAGTCACTGGGAAATGAATTCGGTAAATCAGAATTGATCGTGGACCTCAGCAAATGGATTGAAGTGATGACTCCAACGCCAGCTGATTCTAAAAAAAAGCCAAGAGTTAAGAGGAAGTATGTGAGAAAGCAGGGACTCAGCAAAGACTCAACTGTTTCCCCAACAGAAGTACCACTAGAAAACAAGGATCTAAGAGTACTTGAGCCTACCAAGAAGTCATGTAGAAGGACCTTAAAATTTGACATAGAAGGGCAACATAGAGATGAAAAGTCTACATGCAGGTCCGGTTTTGATTTAGATGGAGCATCACAGGCAAGTGACTTCTATAGAAGAGGAATTCAGTCAGAATCAACTGTACAACTCAATGAAGGAATTGAATTGGCCATAGAAAATACACAAGTCGGCATTGCCTATGATCTCAGCCGTTCAGTGAATCAAAATCTAAAAGATTACACGTCATTGCCTGAAGGACAGGTACCTCTTCCCACTGAGACTAGTCCCCAAGGACAAAAACATAATGCTAGTTTCAGAAAGGATGATAATACAGAATGTGAAGGTCAAGTGGCTGCAAATATTGGGCAGGAAGCTACTAAACAGATGATGTTGCAAATAGAGACTCAACAATCACCAGGAATCACAAATGAATCCAAATGCAACAACTGCACAATCTTTATTGAACCAGGACAAGCATGGAGATCAAAGAGAAAGTATTCCAACGCAGTTGAGCATGCAGAAGCCAGCAACTCAAATCTGATTGGAATTGAATATAATACTTTACAAGCATATCAAAACCCTTGGGTCCCAAAAATTCACAAGAAAAAGAGAACTGAGAAAGGGCAAAACTCTTCTACATCTAGCACATCATCCTCTGTGACTGCTGCAAAAGATGTCACACTGGAAACAACATGCTATCAAGATGATACCAAAGCAAATCCTTCTGTATCCAAAATCAATAACTCTGTTTCCACTCCTCAATGGAATGCTGGTGGCATTGCAACACTTGGAGAGGCAAGAAGCAATCTTCAAGATAAACAGAAAACCTTTGAGGGTATCCTAGCTTTAACTCCAACAGAGAGTGTGACAAAAAAGAGATCCAAGGGTCTTACTCGGGTTCGAGATTTGGCTTCTCTAACCAGATTGGCAGAATGTGGAATGCAACCAACTTACCCAGGCAACCAAGGGCAGTTGGATTGTGATATGCAACAAGTTGGGAATCCACAGAGACCTCACACATGTATAGAAGCACTAGTAGCAGAGGTGCGTGAGACATTGGCTCGAAAGAAGCGAACTAAGAAGAGAAACTCTTTTTTCAATTCTGCATCCACCAGTACTAATGAAGCCCAAAAGCAGCAAAAGTTCATCTTGTATAACCACCTCCAGTTCTCATTAGGTACTTAATGCAATCTTTAACCGTTTATTATCCAGTCCAACAGGAAATTTTTGTCTATTATATTTCTTTAATGCTACCATTCTGCCAAAATGTTCTAATTAATTTCATACAAACCATTTGATGCAGGTGCTCTTCCAGAACTAACATGGACACGAATGATCTCCATTGATGAACTCACTGAGCAATTAGAGAAACTAGACATCAACAGAGAAAGTAGCAACATCGATCACCAAGAGCAGAACGCCCTTGTCCCTTACAGCATGAGATACCAAGAGCAGAATGCACTTGTCATTTATAACAGAGATGGCACAGTTGTACCATTTCATGGCTCATTTGAGCTTGTAAAGAAACGGCGTCCACGGCCTAAGGTAGACCTTGATGAAGAAACTAATAGAGTATGGAAGCTTCTATTGGAAAATATCAACAGTCAAGGCATTGATGGAACAGATGAAGAGAACACAAAATGGTGGGAAGAAGAACGGAGAGTGTTTCATGGTCGTGTAGACTCGTTTATAGCTCGCATGCATCTTGTGCAAGGTAGCATTCCTTTTCCTGACATCTCCCTATATAAACTTCAGACTTGTGAGAATCCCAAATGCTTATCTAGGAATTTAGATGCATGGGTTATTAGGATTTCCATAATGTAATATGGCTACAAACCACAAAAGTCTAGAAAGAAGAACACACAATACTATTGTGATCATCCCACTATCAAAAGAGAGAATGCTGAACCTTCTATATTTTATATTTTTTCTTTTCCGGTTTCTTTGGCAATACCATATAAGTTTTCAGAACAAGCCAAAATATATAGATAGGGTATAGGTAAAAGCTTAATTGGAAAAAAGAATCAGGGCACACTGAATTTGGAGCATCTTAAATGTTCTTGATACATTGACACCACATTAAAATGTCAACCGCCGTTGTACAGCCTAAATAACATGATACAATTCTACAGTCCAAATAAGATAATATCCAATAGCAGGGGAAAAGTAACTACAAAATTTAGTTAAGGTTAGAATAGATGGCAGTCAAATTGTGTACCAAGCTAAATTCCAAAAATTTTGTGCTCAACCTGACAAGCATCTTAATGTAATGGAAAGGACATCTGCCTCCATGTAATTGTAATTTAAAGGCAGACAAAACCAAATGTGTATTCTGCAAAAACGGAAGCTCTGCTTTAAGCCAAATGAAGAAAACTTTGCTGAAATTGGCTTTGAAAATTTTACTCTTCCAATGTGAATTTCATGAATCTATATGTTCATGTCAAGAACTTCAGGAAACTTTAATGCATGCACTTATGGAAATTTTAAGTGCTTTGTTCTATCTTAAAATGCTACCTGAGTTATTTCACACAATGGTTTTGTTTGTTACAAGTTCATATTATACCAGCAAAATGCCTTTTGAACAGGGGACAGACGCTTCTCTAAATGGAAGGGATCCGTTGTGGACTCGGTTGTTGGAGTCTTTCTTACTCAGAATGTTTCAGACCATCTTTCTAGGTGAACTAGTGTTTCTGACATATATATTAGCCCAACATAATGAAATTAAAGGAAAGGGACATAGGAAATTTATCTTACTGTCTTCACCTTTTTGCAGTTCTGCATTTATGTCACTTGCTGCACATTTTCCGCTCAAGTCAAAGGACCAGAAACCATGCTATGGGGAAGGGACTAGTTCAGTGACTGAAGAACAAGCAGTGTACATACTGGATCCCGAAGAAACTGTAGAATGGACTGAGAAGATGTCAAATCAACCAGCTTGTGACCAGAGTTCCATGACCCTCCACAATACCGAGATTAATGAAGAGAAAGAAGTCATCAGCAGCAATGAATCTTTTGGAAACAGCTGTACTGTCAACTCGATAGATGAGTCAAAATGCAAGCTGTTGAATTCTTGTGTAAGTGATTCAGAAACATGCTATGATACAATTCTGAACAGATCAACCACAGAGAGCACTGCAACAGAGACAATATGTTCTGTAGGAGGTAGAATAGCAACCGATTATTTACTTTCATCTCAAAATTCCATGGATTCTTCAATTGCTGAAAATGCTGAAAGAACCAAATCAAGCTTTGATAACAACTCAGAGGCAGCAGATCTCACTCGTGGGTCTGCACTCAACAGCTTTAATGAATGTACTTCTTTTGTGGAGCTTTTACAGATGGCAGGATCTTACAAGCTTCATAAAGTTTACAACCATGGAGATGTCAATATCTCATCTGATGAGAACTCAAAGCATGAAAGTGACCAATTCCAAACCATGGCTTATGACAGCCCAAGACAAAAAGTGGAAGATTTAAACAGCCCTAAAGACTTTTTAGGAGAGTCAAATATACCACCCAGTACTTTCCATCCATATCTTACCCAAGATTCAGCAGTGGAAGTTGCATGCTATGAGATGCTTGGAGAAGAAACAGGATCTTCTGGCATTTCCGTAAAAAATAATAAAGAGGGTGTGGTAGAACAAATTGCTGTTACACCAGAACTCACAAGTCAAACTAAAGATACAACTAAGCTGACCATTAGTGTTCAAGAAGCACCAAGTTCTTCCAGTGAAACTAAGCAAGCAAGCAACAGTATGCAAGAAGACCAGAATTTAAGTGAACAACATCAAAGTGAGCTATCTAGAGATTCCACAGTTGTTGAATTGCTGGCCAAAGGACAAAAGCATGAAATGCAACATCAGAATTTGTCAAACCTGTCAGGAGAAACCCAAGGCGCTACAGAAAGCAATAATGCATGTGATAACCGAGAAAACATTCAGCCGAATACATCAGTGTCAGACTTGAATAAGCATGACCATGTATTTGGCAAAGAACTCAATGAAATTAATGATGCTACTTCAAAAGCAAAAGGTAGAAAGGTTGCAAAGGATAAAAAAAAAGACTTTGACTGGGATAGTTTAAGGAGACAGGTGGAAGTGAATGGAAGGAAAGAAAGACCAGAAAACAACATGGACTCATTGGATTGGGAAGCTGTAAGATGCGCTGATGTTAATAAGATTGCCAATACCATCAAGGAACGAGGTATGAACAACATGCTTGCTGAACGAATAAAGGTAAAAAATTTAAATTCCATCACAAAAAATCTCAAATTTGTAAATGTACTAACCACAGATAGCAAGCTTTTCACATCAAGTAATTTTAGTTGACAATCCATGTAGGATTTCCTTAACCGAATTGTTAGAGAACACGGAGGCATTGATCTGGAATGGCTGAGAGATGTTCCACCTGACAAAGCAAAGTAAGTCATAAAGTAAATTCCAATAGTTTCCTCGAAATACTGATATAATTTTGTAACACATCATCTAAATATGCCACAACTGTGTTGGCATACTGTTAGCATACTTAATTTTTCATATAAAACTTAAAAGTTGCTAAACAAGATTTATTCTTCTAGAGAGTATCTGCTAAGCATACGAGGACTGGGTTTGAAAAGTGTGGAGTGTGTGCGACTTCTTACACTTCACCACCTTGCGTTTCCAGTAAGTTAGTAATAAGATGCAAATATATCTAAAACAAATGGAACATTGTCTAACTTTTATGATACTATGACAGGTTGACACAAATGTTGGACGCATAGCTGTAAGACTTGGATGGGTTCCACTTCAGCCACTGCCTGAGTCGCTGCAGTTGCATCTTCTAGAACTGTGAGTATCATGTATAAAAAGACAACTGATATAAACTATTGGTGTTTACAACAGAACTAATATTTTGTACCTACAGGTATCCAGTGCTGGAATCCATTCAAAAATATCTATGGCCCAGATTGTGCAAACTTGATCAACGAACTCTGTAAAGACAAATTCCATTGCATCTTATTATTTTGACTCCTTAATTTGCTTATATACAATTAGCAAGAAAACTAAAAAAAAATATGTTATTTAGAGTTAATTGTTATTAATTCGTTGCAATATTTACTAATAGGTATGAGCTGCATTACCAGATGATTACATTCGGAAAGGTATGTTGCATACATATACATATTAAATTTTAATTTAAGCACCTTGCCGATAAACATGCTAAAGCCAAGAAGAAAAATATTATTTATGCAGGTCTTCTGCACAAAAAGCAAACCAAATTGCAATGCATGTCCAATGAGAGGAGAATGCAGACATTTTGCTAGTGCATTCGCAAGGTTCGCATCTTACTTGTTATAGTTTCTAGCTTTATATTTTGCATTTATAGTTCTCAAGGAGCAGCTATCAGTTTAATGTTATTTACCACCATCCATTACCTTCTTAGTTCATTCAGGTAATTTGTGGATGTGGAGTTATCATAAAGAAAAAAAGAACATTTCAGCTAATTAAGAATATCCAGCCATGGATCAGATTATTAATCCTCTTATTCTGTAATTATAGATACAGTAAACGGCAGTAATCCCATACTGTAGACCTGATAGGAAAAAAAATTTCCAATAAGATACATATACAAATATTAAGATTTGATAATTTGACCACATACAACTTTGAATGCAGCTCTAGGCTTGCTCTGCCAGGGCCAGAGGAGAGATCTATAGTGAGTGCAAAAGCAAATATAACTTCAGACCAAAACCCTGAAGTGATAATCAATAAACTGCCACTGCCATTACCCCAGGCAATGGATCAACCTGAAGGAAACCAGCAATCAGAAGCAATATTAGAAGCCAATAACTGTGAGCCTATTATTGAAGAACCAGCGACCCCAGAACCAGAATGCCCACAAGTAACAGAAACTGACATGGAGGATACATTCTGTGAGGACCCAGATGAAATTCCTACTATCAAGCTTAACATGGAAGAGTTCTCTCAGACCTTACAGAATTATGTGCAAGAAAATATGGAACTTCAAGAAGGTGACATGTCCAAGGCTTTAGTTGCTTTAAAAGCAGAAGTTGCATCCATTCCTACACCCAAGCTTAAGAATGTGAGTCGTCTACGAACAGAGCACCAAGTGTAAGTAAAAATTCGACTATGAAGCCTAATTAATTGAATTATCATTCAAAAATTTGGTGAAAAAAACCTGGACTGCTGGTTATAAATGGAAGATTAATTTGGTTCAGTAAGGTGAATGCCTATTGGATTAACAATTCCAAACTTTTCAAAAAGTTAGTTATTGAGAAATATCACAAGGAATTGAAATGATTCCTGATCAACAAATATGGGTAAGAAAAGCAGAGCAGAGAGGTAAAGAATGTGTGAATAATAGCTACACTATTGAGTAAACAAAACAAATAATTCCTAGAAAATCCCATATCCGTACTAAGTGGAAAACCCTTTAATTCATACTAATTCGATCTTGATCATCCTGCAGGTACGAACTTCCAGATTCACACCCTCTATTGGAAGGGGTAAGTTACTTTGCATCCAGTAAGCAGGAACATTATTGTTGTTAGTAGGTAAAAGTATAATGAGAAGCATTTAGTTAACTTTCTGTTTCCAAATGTCTTCCTACTTTTTGCTCTTTCCTAAATTAAAGTTGGAAAAAAGAGAACCTGATGATCCGGGCAGATACCTTCTTGCCGTATGGACACCAGGTGAGCAAAAAACCTTCCTCTCTAGACAAGCTTAGGATAACATGATTATTATAAAGTTACATATGTGTGTGCGCTACCTATCAGAATTTTGCCCATAGATGTGAGTTTTGCAAATTAATTCACAATTCAATGTAAATTTTTTTAGGTGAAATGCCAAATTCCATTCAACCACCTGAATGGAGGTGCAGTTCCCAAGAAAATGGCAAATTATGTGATGAGAAGACATGTTTTTCTTGCAACAGTGTTCGGGAATCACAATCTCATATCGTTCGAGGGACACTTTTGGTAAGAATGAATTTTACAGCCATGTATGACTTGTTCTAAGACTTTGTACATATAAAATGCTAACAGGCGCTAGAAACCTTTTATGTCAGATACCATGTCGAACAGCCATGAGAGGAAGCTTTCCCCTCAATGGCACATACTTCCAAGTTAATGAGGTAAACTCAACCCCAACACTCATGCATTGGATGCCTTTCCATTACTTAAACTCTTCCTTTTCGTTGTATACCATATCCACAGGTGTTTGCCGACCATGATTCTAGTCTGAACCCAATTAACGTCCCAAGGGAGTGGTTATGGAACCTACCACGAAGGACTGTGTTTTTTGGAACCTCCATACCAACAATATTTAAAGGTACAAGTTGTAATCAAGGATGGCTCTAATAATTGATATAAGGTCAAACCTATGCATTCAACTTCAGTCTTTTGTCTGTAGGTTTAACAACAGAAGGTATTCAGCACTGCTTCTGGAGAGGTATGTGACAATGTCAATTCTTTAGCTTTTCACTCTAGTGGCTGTGATAAGAAAACTTAGCCTTCAATAATCTAATTGTTACATTCTGTACACGTACAAACATTAGACCTAGCAATTTTTAGAATATAACTCAGCCCTACACAAGAAATGAGGCTTCTTACATGCTGAAGACTGGACACAGTGATGCCCATGAAAATAAGCAGCATCGTTTTTATTAATATTGTATAAATGGACACCAAAATGTGCTCTTTCACAGGTAAACATAGGATAGCTACCTTGTACTGGGCATGAAATTAGTATTTTTTTTTTTTTTTTTTTCTTCTTTCGGATTGTAGAAGTTTTCCCTTGCTACACCTGACAAAATCTGCCACAATAAATAACCTTAGCAATTCATGTCATCTGAAAAAAAGAGGGGTTTGAAAAAGTAAATTTGTTAGTCTGTATGACCACAATGCCTGGTCTCCTTCATCCAGAAAAGTTATGCTATCCAGGATCTTAAATCTAAGAGTATAATTTAGACATTAGGGCTATAAGAATTGGGAACTGAGTTAGAAATTAAATGGTTTTATAATTAGGGTTCTGAGATAGAACCCAGGCAATTGCAACTAGGATTCTAACAAAGCTACAAAATTCAAGAATACTCGATATATTCTCCCTCTAACTTAACTGAGAAATTAGATATATATTGTACAGGATATTAGCTCTCCAAAACCATTTTAGGAATATGAATCCTATATACGAAGCAAGAAGTCATGTACCTTTGACTAGGAAAGACCAAACGGAAAACAAGATGCTAATAAATTTAAATTATAGCTAACTCCAGTGTTTCTACTTATTACAGATTTTTCTCACTTGATAAAACTTTATTATGATGGAATCAGCAACACTATTAACTCCAAAAGTACACAGAATAAGATTTAAATTATGTTTGAATTGACTACATAAAATTCTAAAAAGTTCCACGCCTGTTGACCATTAAATCAATACTAACTTCATCACCACACAACATAAATTACCATACAATACTTCTCCTTTTTTGTCCAGATGACAAACCCTTTAACCGCTGAGGTTAGTTATACTCAAAAGGTCTAATCTTTCAGCCACAGGAGAGGCAATTATCAAGTTTACCCCAAAAAAAAAAAAAAAAAAAATGACCGCACAATGTAATTGACAAAATTGAAACTAAGCTATTCCTAATGAGTACTACTATACCAACAACTCTTTCTCACAAACTTTCTCTCATAACTCTAACATGACAACTCGCTATTAATTAGTGAAACCCATGTGAGACTCGTTGTGAATTGATCAATTACGAACTACCACGCCAAGATTATGAGAAAAAGTTTGTGAGAGAGAATTGTTGGTATAATATTATTCATTCCTAATACGTATAAAACAATGAAATAGAAGTCTTACCCAAACAAAATAATGAAATGAAAAGGTTTAATTTAACTAAGATAACTAAATCCTAAAATACAGAAAGACAAAGACTGCAACCTTCTTATGTCCTACATCAATTCTCCGACACTGAAAACAACTCCTAACGAGTAGGTTAGGTGCTCAATCAAATAGTTGTTGCCAACAAACAAGGAACCATCATAAATAGTTCATCTTGCACAAGTATAGGATAAATATTAGGGGTGGGCGGGTCCAAGTACCGGCCCAAATCCCATGATACAGGAATCAGAACCAGCTACTTCTTGGGATTTGGAACTGAAACTAGAACCGGCCAATTCCGATTCCTAATACCTGAAACAAGAACCTAAATCTCAGGTTCTAGTTCATAGTACCCAAGAAAATTACAAATACACCCTTATTATTCACAAAAATGACAACTATAACCTATAAAAATTACAAATACACCCCTAACTGTTTACAAAAATTACAAATGCATACTATAGTCTGTTTACAAAAATTACAATTCGCAATCAATAACTAAAAAGAAACATTCCAAGATGGATTTTAAACTCTGATTTTGCCACATCACAGAGGACACATACAAATTGTTGACGTGTTAAAATCATAACAGTTCACTGAAATCGCTTATTCCTATTGCTTAATACACACAAAACTTTCTTCTTACCAGAAGAAAGTTTTAAATCTTTCCCAAAGTAAACTGGTTCCTACAATTCATTGAAAAACTTCTTCATTTTAAATCAAATCTTTCTCCAAGAAGACAAACACGAATTTCAATAAAATCTTAAAGTTCTAAACACAACCAAAAGCAAAAACACTTCCAGAAAACAACCCAACGTTTCAAAATCAAGCCTTGGTCTCCAAAATAGACAGGCATGACTAGTTTCAAGATAGAAACTGTGGCATGCCAATCTTCATACAATTCCCTCTATGTTAACCCTTTAACCGAGTCGAGACACAACCGTAGTTGCCATGAAGGTGGAGAAGGTGTGAATTCCTTCACTCACAACGAAGCAAGCTAATTCCAATTTTTCTTCCAAAAAAACTAGAATGTATCTTTCAATTATCAGTGCACCCTGCAGTCTGGAAAAGGATTTGATAGCGAAATCAAAGGGAAATTCAAACAGAGGAGAGTGGTGACAACTAATTCGATGAATGAAAGAATGAAGCAAGCTAATTCCATTTTTTTCGACCAATTCGCAAAACCTAATTTCTTATTCGATAAACATAATTACATAATAGGCCCTATTGTTTTTTGAAATATCATTTAACTCCCGATTCGTAAACCGGTTTCTACTTGGGTACTCAAATCCCGATTTCAATTCCCGAGTCAGTTCCGATTCCTAACACTGATGGAACCGGTACCAGAACCGCACTGTACTGGTTCCACCTAATAAAGAACCAGAACTAACCCTGTGTGGTCGAGTTCCTAGTAGGAACCGAAATCAAAACTGAAACCTTGAGTACCTGTTGGTTCCAGTTCTACCCTAATTTCCTGCACAACCCTAATAAATATACCCACAAACTGGAAGGAAATCCTTTAGCTAAGGCAAAGATAGCACATCTTGATGTAGTATCAACTCTCTAAGAATTGTAAACTCCATGAACAAATACGCAAGAACGTGTTGTAATATATATTGTTTAAAGAGGAATAATGCAAAAATAAAACAAATGAACTATTGTTAGGATCCCACATTGAAAGGGAAAATGGTGGGCATGTGGGTTATAAAGGCTTGGGCACCCTTTCTTAGCAAGCCAGTTTTCCAAAAAGAGTTTTACCCAAGCCCATGAAAAACCCATGGCCTAACCCAAATTGTTGAGTTATTGGACTAGGCTTCTATCAATTGGTATCAAAGTATGATCCTGCGCCTATGTGGTAGCGCACGCATGGCAAGCTGACACGTGACAGACTAACCTTAAGCCCGGGCTGCTATCCCGAGAAAGGGCATGGAGGCCCAAAGAAAAGGGGATCCGCGTAGTCACCCAAGGGGTAAAGAGGCTGACGGGAGTAAAGAGGCCGACTTGGACGTCGGTTACAGAAGCGTGGTGGAATGTTAGGATCCCACATTAAAAGAAAAAATGGTGGGCATGTGGGTTCTAAAAGCTTGGACACCCTCCCTTGACAAGCCGATTTTCCAAGAAGAGTTCTACCCAATCCCATGAAAAACCCATGGTCTAACCCAAATTGTTGAGTTATTAGAGTGGGTTCCTATCAAGACTATTGAAACAGATGAAAAAGTGATGGGCTTTCTATTGCTGCTTCTTAATTCTCAAAGCTCACATTTCATTCATACATCCATATACATTTATATAATGGAATGAGACAGCTATTTATAGGAAATTGAGCCACACTTAAGAACAATCAAAATGAGTTAAAGAAAAAGTGAAGGAAACTTTATATACCCAAATCAACCCTTCCTTTCATATATTAATCTTTAATCAATTAAGCACTACTCTCAAGTGACAAATTGACTCAATTTGAAAAGAAAAAAAATGATGAAATAATTCATTCCCTTCACAACACTCCCCCTTTTATTTCTACTAACAAATAATTGTATTTAAACTCTGCTAAGAAAAAACCCAGCGGGATAAAAACCTTAACAAAAGTATACAATCATAGAATAAACTTAAAAGCGATGTTGCACTATACTCTTTTTCTCTTTATCAAGTTTTATCCCACTGAGTTTACTAGCAAGGCTTTTAACGAGAGGAGTGAATTATTCAATCACTCTTCTTTCATCAAATCGAAGTAATTTGTTACTTGGGAGTGGAGCCTAATAGATTAAAGATTGGCATATAAAAGGAAATGTTGTTATAGGTGTAGCAAGTTTCCTCCACTTGCTTTTCCTTTTACTTATTTTGATTGGTTCTAAGTGCAATTCAATTTCCCATAAATAACTACATCATTCTATTATATGAATGAAAAGTAAGCTTTTTTAGAGTTTAGAAGCAATAATAGAAAGCCTCATTACTTCTTCATCTATTTCAACTTAGTCCATTTGTTTTATTTTTGCACAATTCCTCTATCAACAATATATATGTAAGACAAATACCAAAGATGCATTTTTTCTCTTTCTAACCGAAATAATATTGCACATCTCAAATAGTTTCATTGTCACCCTATAAGACATTATCATATCATTTACCACATCAATATATCATTCACAAGTCAATACCATATAGAAAGAAACTTGGAATAGGAATTAGGGATACTATTTAGGATTTGTAACATTATTCTTCCAAGCCCTCCTTTACCTTTTGCCTATCTAATAAGATGAGTTCCATTACTTTCATCAAAGCCTTACATATAAAGACTCTGATTAAACTTTCAATCCTTTTAGCTACTCTGTTAAGAATTTGACGAAGATAGTAATAAAAGTACCGACAAAACAAAATTAATTAAAGTGAACCTTCTCCTCTGGAAAGTAAAGTTCAATTTTCTACCTCCAAATCCCAAAAACTTAAGGATCAAGGATTATCAACTAGAGGGTGTTCAAGTATTTAAGAGGTCAACTTCTTACCGCTAACTAAATGATAGACCAAAAGATTAACTTTTTCTTATTGTGGAGTTAATTCTCACAATGAAACTTTTGAATATATTTACTTTAAGCCCATATTAGAGATCAAATTTTCCATTTTTAGCAAAAAAAAAATTTGGTTTATTCCCCATAATATCAAAGGTTAAAGTAACATTCAGACACCACATAGTATACCACAAATTTAATTTTAATAGTTATTGAAACCAAAATGCAAGCACTAATCATGTACCCAATTTTTTTACCACATTAGCATTTGCAATCTTAAGGCTCGACCACTTTCCATGCTCCAATGCAATCTTTTATGCTACATAATTATAAACCTCTCCTTGATAGCTATTTTTATTTAAACCCTTGTGAGGTGCTTGCTTGCCTGTGACAGAGAGAGGCGCATGTATGTGCACCAACATGCATCCTTGATTAAGGAGCCAGTAAACAACAATTATTTCTCAAAGACAAGGGGCCTGCAGTGTTGTGAAAATTGATGATATTTTGAGTAGATATGCCCTTTGATAGGATAGATAAATTCCTTCCTACAACCATACTTGCAATAGAATAAGCAACCATTGTTTGTTATACAACCTTGAAACCATATTTGTGTTGCCTATTTTATTGATTGCAATCCAGAACCTTGAACTGCTTATAAAAAGTGGAAGATAGAGATTGGCCGTGGCCCAGTTCAATTTATTTGTAGGAAAGAAGTAGAAATACTAGAACCTAATACCCAATTTTGTTTCCTACAAATGTCCTGCGTATACTTTTTATTGAACTAATATCATGTGGCCAGTAATGCTCAAACTTGACTCAAAATTACTTGCAGGATTTGTTTGTGTGAGAGGATTTGACCAAAAAACACGAGCACCCCGTCCACTGATGGCTAGACTGCACTTCCCAGCAAGCAAGTTGAGCAAGACACGAGTTAAACCAGTTGCAGATGATAAGTAGACAACGAGAAATTGCATAAAAATTCATGACTGAGACCGGATCCAGAATGCCATTATGGCGATATATTGAGAACAAGACTAACAGCCAGTAGCTCACCATTAAAATCTTGTTTTCTGACCCTACGATGCTTGTAGCGTGTACATGTCTAAGAAGAGTCTGTAATTATCTAATTTCAGGCTCAAATTTGAGCCCATTCTTCTAATTTCAGCGAACATCAGCAATATGACATAAGCTACTGGATATTTACATGAACAGAGAAGAGTGTGTAAAAACCTAACACCAAGTGCGAGAGAGCATGAGCTCATGAATTTAATTTTCTATGTTGAATGTATCATAAAGTTCAAGTCATGTATATATAGGCCCTTAAATACAAAAAACCACAATAATATCAAAGGGTTTTCAGCAAGCTGATGTATCATTGTAAATTTGTATGCAAAATATGTAACAGAGATAAGGAGAAAGCAGTCTAGAAAACCTTGCTGACAATATTGTGATGTGGACAAGATTTAACAGATCCTTCACTTCGGTTGCTTTGAGATGATCCCAGATTTTGAAACCCAATCTGCATATTCCAAAGAAATTCACTCGAATTAGGCAACCTAGAGTGCCAAGAAAAGGTTGAGCTTGCATTTTATCAAACGGGGTAAAACATAAGAGAAAAGCATTATGTCAACGTAATAAACATTTGTTTAACAATTTCATCTTCAAAAAACACGAATTCAAACATGAACAAAGAAAACCTGAAATCAATGTCTTTGATCCATCATACGGAAGAGCTCAGATTTAGAAAATCCTGATTGAATATGAAATTCATTATATAAAAAGGTAAAATAAAACAAAACATCTAACCAAATCTCCTTCAAAAATAGTCATAATTAACTACTAACAAATCAGAAATTCTTATGAAATTTCCTTTAAAAAAAGAAAATCGCAGTCGATGCAATTCATTATAACTAATTTTATAATTATATCTGAAGATCAAGGTTAGGAAGTTGAGGGATTGAGAAATGTACCTCTGAATTTGAATGCTCACAATAAACTGAAAAGCTTGCATTAATGTTAGCTCTTCGCCAGCTAGGGTCATAGAAGGGTTTGGATTGGTGGCGAATTAAAGCGGTACGTGAGCTATGTTGAAAACGTCGACGGATGGTTAAGTTGATATCGCTTTTTGCTGGCGTTTGGGAGGGAGATAGCCGCTTTACCGCCTTTGTTTTCATCTAGTTTCCCTCCAAATTTCTTTATAAAGTGAATTTTGGTATTTGAAAAGACGCGCGGCACGTGGCGTGTGCTTGCTCCGTGTGGAATTGGCGGGAAGATGACGTGGCAGCTGAGTTGAATCAAATGTTGTGTAAGAGATGGGAAATATCATTAACTAGGTGGAAGGCCCGCCCAATTGTATTTTCAGTATTGTTGTTTATATGTAATATAATGTTGTTTGTGAAAGTGATTTTGATACCATATTTGTTTGAAGAATTTGATGCTTGCATTCATTGATATCTATTGTAGAGTTACAACATTATGTAGGTAGAAAACAATGCACTTAACCTCCTAGGATCTGTTTGTTTTAGTATTTTGGATAGTATTTTTGAAAAAGTAAGAGTTGGGTGAGAATAAGAGGTAGAATTTGAAAATTAACAAAAACACCCCCTTTAGGTTTGTTAATTTACTAAACACTCATATAATAAAAACATTAAAAATTATAAAAACACTCCTACCCATCGATTAAATACCGACAACCAACCACCACCGCCGAAGGGTGGCCAGAGTCACTGAATCAGTGCACAACCAGTTGGAGCTGTCTAGTTGTGCACCGAGATGGCCTTTTCCAGCTAGATCCACCATGGATTTGGCTGGAAAAGGCTAGATCTACGGTCATATCTTGGTCGTCGTTGACGACTAGCAACGGCTAGATCTTTGGCCGTAGATTTGGCCTTTTCCGGCCAGATCCACGGTGAATCTGTTCAGAAAATGATAGATCGACGCAATACCGGCCAGATCCAGCCGGTAGTACCCATTATACCAAATTTCGGCCAGTCAGCCACCTTCTGGCAGTGATGGCCAGAATCTGGAAAATGTGGGTGGGTGGGGGTGTTTTTGTCAATTTCTAAACTTTTTTTTTTTTTTGTGTTTAGTTAAATTAACAAACTTGGGGGGTTTAAAAATAATTGAATAAAATAAAATAGGATTTTCATAATAGGGTAACAAATGTGTATTTTGGGTAGGATAAAGATAGGATAGTGCAAAAATAATTAAACAAACGGACCCCTAATCATGTCAGTTACAGAGTACACAATATATTGATATAATTAGGAAATTACATAATATAAAAAGTATCCTAAGACTGACAAAAATAGAAGATTAGAAAATATTTGTGTGAATGTGCATGGTTTGTATTGAAGTTAATTTATTGTTGAATTGATAATTAAAGCAATAAATAATAAACAATTTAAGAATAGGAATTTGATATAAATATTACATGTGTAAAATATATATTTAAATTGACTATAGGTGTAAGGATCGCGCATTGTGCGGGTAAGTCTATTGCTTGTATTTCAAGTATTGTCGTTTGTAAATAATATAGTACTGTTTATGAAAGTGGCTTTGATACCATGTTTGTTTGAAGAATTGGATGTTTCCATTGGTTGATACCTACTACAAAGTTACAGGCATTATGTAGGTAGAAAATGATCAATTGAATCTCTTAATTATGTTAGTTACAAATTACACAATATATTGACATAACTAAGAGATTACGCAATATAAAGAGTATTCTAAGGCAGACAAAAATAATAGATTATAAAATATTTGTGATAATAGTTATGTTAATGTGAATGGTTTGTATTAAAGTTAATTTAATGTTGAATTAATAATTAAAGCAATAACTAATACAAAAATTAAGAATAGCAAGTTGATATAAATATTACATGTGTGAAATATACATTTAAATAATTACACAAGATTCAATGTGTACCAATTTAATCCAAATAAGTAATATTAAATAGTATGAATAATATTTTTTTTGTAATTAACCCGTTTTGACCCACGGTTGGATCGGTGTCATGGTGCTAAACCACCAGTGCGATAGATTTTGTTCGAAAACCAGGTTAACATTTTTCTAGGGTTCCCTTTTTTTTGTTTATTTCGTTTCTCTCTAATTCCTTTACAAAGTTTTAGTGTGCTAAACCACCGATCTAACCAATTTTGTGTGAAAACCGATTTTTTTTTTTTTTTTTAGTATTCCTTTCTTTTCCTTTATTTCATTTCTCTCTAATTCCTATACCAATTTCTCTCCTCGTTAACTTTGTCTTCTGGTGTTGTTGACAATTCTTTCAAAGACGCTTGCAGTTTTGTTTCGAGCGTTTTTCCACTACCGACCCAGCCCCTGTATAACTCGTCTTTCTTTTTAATATATCAAATTAAAGTTTTGTCTGTCTAGTTTCCAAACAATTCGTTCATAAATGAGACTTTTATTAAGCAACTTATGGCTAATTTACTATTGATTGTTCAGTGAAAACCAAGAAATAAACAAAAGCGAAATGTTTGTATATTTTGGTGATAGAAAAATCCTCGACTTGATTCCATTGCACTACATGAATCTTTTCCTTGTAAATAACAGCAACAAAAATTAATTGATTTTGATATTAACATTGTGAAGAGATATGCTTACCGAATTGTTGAGACCAACCGTATTGTTGAAACCAAGTAACATAATGCAGCAATAGGCAGCCAACGATGTCATGGTGGAATGGTATCATATCACATAAATATAGATAGATATTTAATGAGAATGTGAAATGTTTGTAATTATGTGAATATGAAGGGACAAATATAAATCTACAAGCATGAACCAATAAATCTTCTAATATGATAAACAAAGTTTTAAGTAGACCTCTAGGATGCCACTATTTGATATCCATCTTTTCGACTAGAACTTTAAGGGTATACAGTTATCTAAATTTAACATATAATATATAAAATTAAAGTTATGTCTGTGTAGTTTCCAATGCTTTAATCCGTTCATCAATTGGACTTTTATTGAGTAAGTTATGACCAATTTACTACCGACTGTTTAGTGGAAACCGTCATAACCTCAATTATTATTAACTTATTCAGATAAATGGTTTGGCAGCAAGACAAATTCCATATCAAAGGTAGCATATATTATATCAAATTGAAACTCTGCCTGTCTAGTTTACAATGCTTCAATCCGTTCATCAATTGAACTTTTATTAAGTAAGTTATAGCCAATTAACTACTGATTGTTCATTGGAAACCGCCATAACCTGTCCTCAATTATTATTAACTTATTCAGATAAATGGTTCGGCAGGAAGGCAGATTCCATATAAGACATCATATAATACATCAAATTAAAACCCTGGCTATCTAATTTCCAATGTTTTAATCATTTCATCAATTGGACTTTTATTAAGCAAGTTATGGTCAATTTACTACTAACGAAGTGACCGTTCAATGAAAACCGTCACAACCTCAATTATTATTAACTTATTCAAATAATTGGTTCGGCAACAAGGCAGATTCCATATCAAAGGCAGCACATAATATATAAAATTAAAGTCATGTCTGTCTAGTTTCTAATGCTTCAATCCATTCGTAAATTTGACTTTTATTGATCAAGTTATGATCAATTTACTATTGCTTGTTCAGTGGAAACTGTTATAACCTCAATTATTATTAACTTATTCAGATAAATGGTTTCGTAGCAAGGTTGATTCCATATCAAAGGTAGCATATAATACATCAATTTAAAACCTTGTATGTCTAGTTCTAATGCTTCAATCCATTCATCAATTGGACTTTTATTGAGCAAGATATAACCAATTTACTACTGATTGTTCAGTTAAAACTGCCATTACCTCAATTATTATTAACTTATTCAGATAAATGGTTTGGCAATAAGGCAGATTCTATATCAAAGATGGCATATAATATATCAAATTAAAGTCCTAATTGTCTAGTTTCCAATGCTTCAATCCGTTCATCAATTGGATTTTTATTGAGCAAGTTATGACCAATTTACTATTGACTGTTCAATGAAAACTGAGAAACAAATTTTCAAATGCCGAACCATTTGATTTGGCATCTGACTTCATCTCTAGTGGGTTGCTTTGTCGCTTGTTTTGGTTCATCCAAAGATTCCACACACTGCAAACTCAGACACAGGGTTCACTCTTAAATGAAAATTAAGATGAATGGTTCGGCATTCATCTAAAAGAGATAGTCAGATATTGAACCATTCTTCAGATGTCTATCCATTTGGTTCGGCATCTAACTTAAATCAAAATTAAAGAAGATACATGGTTTGAAGATAAACTTAAGAGCAACATAACTAAATTAAGATGTTCGGCATCTGACATCATTAAATGAATTATGATGAATGGTTCAGC